CACTCCCCCAGGAAGGACCACCAGCTGCCAAAAGATCCCAGAGTTTCATCATAAGCCTCTCTTCTACCTATGACCCCAGAATTTCATCACCCCCCCTCTCTCCTGCCTCTTGAGCTAAAACATACGCGTGTCCTGCTGCGCTCCCTCTGGCATCTCCAGAGGCAGGCCCCGAAGATCTGTAGAGCAAGACTGAGCGATGCACAGCGGAACAAAAGCGGCCGATGCTCTGCGCTGGCGGGAAGAGCTCACACGACTGGCCGTTACCGGCGCGGTGAACCGGTGTGACCTCAACCATGCACACAGGTAAAGCCATTGACGTTCTCAGACCTCACCTTTAGGGCTCCAGAAGGTGTTTTCTGGACAATCTGTACAGTCGTAGCAGCAGAGGTGGAATCCTTTTATTTGTCTGAATTGTCCTGGCTTACAATGGCTGAAGCATTCTGATGTAGGCTCCTAGGCAAAGGGAAGAACGAACGTCAGCCAGATACTTTCAGGAGAAGCACCGTGTCGCCAAACAAAATCAGAAGAACTTGGCTGTGCTGTGATCAAACCTGTGCTTGAGCCTTAAACAGTGCTGGGAATAGCTTTCTCGCGTTTTGCACCGTGGAGATGGATTGCACGTTTGCAGAGGAGCCAGAACTGGGTCCCGTGCAAATCTTGGAGGAGTAGCAGCATGCAGGCTGAGAGCCCCTTAAGGACATGAAGGTTTAATTCGTTTTGTGGTTGTTTATGCTTTTTTTCCCACCGTCTTTACCTTTTGATCTGCAGTGTGGAACTGAATCTGGGACTTATTGATGTTCAAGGACTCTTCGTAGTCGCCTACAGGCAGATACGTAAGGGTGCCGTTTTTCCAGGACCAGAATATAAGCTTGTAGCCAGTGTTTGTGCCGTGGGATTGATCAAACCTAAAACTTTGGCCGTTCACCTGGAACGGGAGGGTATTCATGAAATGCAGCAGCTGAGGAGAAAATGAGAATCGACAGTAAGTGCTGGTACAGTTGGTGGTGTTTCTTAGAGGATGCTAATGCCGTAAGCTGATTCCTGGCCGGAGTCAGTCGTCCCTTACGTGGGCTAAGATTGCGACTGTCGGCCTTCTGGCTGCGTTACCCGCTGCTCTGCTGTGCCCAGCCCGGTCAGCGGGAGCCAGGACGCAGCCCTAGAGCGGGGGACGCAGCCC